AACCAAAGAGAAACAAAACAAAAACAATTCTACCCAGAATCTAAGGAAAAGAGAAGAAAATGACATAATGGAGTTCTGAGATGAAACAGTAGGTTATTGACACCAGAAAGTGACCCTATACCCAAAAAGGTGGCACACCTAGAATGGTCTATGGATCATTCAGTATGGTGGAGGAAGGGTTATGTGAGTATGCTTCTGTGGATCATAATTACAGAGGGAAAGTTGTGAAATGGGGAAAAGAGAGCATTGCCATGAGCCTAATGGGGGCTGAACTAATAAAATCTATGTCTCCTGATTCCCATACATTGGTCCAGTCTTGTTTGATCAGCATGTGGGAGTATCTCTCCTGTGTGAAACCCTGTTTGGATGTTAAACTCTAGGACTCTCTTATATGCCCAGCAATCAGCAATGCTCTCCAAATGTCCCCACAATTTTCTTACTTTTCCAAAAACAAGAATAGAAGCAGAAAGTCTAATCTTAGTCCTCATAATCAAATAGGTAAAGTAGACTAGTTTAAGCATGAAGCATAGGGCACTACCTTTTACAAGAACAAGCAGAACGCCCATATGAGGTGTCTCCAAGTCCATTCAAAAGGATAGCTTGCTGTGTCTCCAAACAGAAATGCCATGGTATTTGCATGTAGTTCACAAACATCCAGAGTTAAACACAAGTACACATGTGCTAGAGATTGTAAAATATATGTCTTCCTAACAGTCAGCTACTCCTTATGTAAAGTTAGCAATTACACTTACTGCTCATGAAACTAATTGAGTTTGGGTGAGGAATGAATGGAAAATGTACTTAAGACAACTAGATGTGAAGATGTCTGCATATATGTTCCCCCATGAGAGAATTTTGTACAAAAAGCCTTTGACAAATACCGATCCCCAAATTTTGTACATATAAAGTACTTGCAGGCTGAAAATATAACGAATTGCTATGACTAAACCAAATGTTTGTGTCCTAAATGAAATACTCTGAAAATAAATTTAAATTATATTTTTGAAGAACACAATGTTTAAAAACATGTACTCTCAATTACTTTGGGGAGAAATAGAAATAACAAATTGTCAGCATTCGGAGAGAATGGCTGGAAATGTACTATATCAGGCACAAACTCAAAAATGTTTCATCATTTTAGTGACTAGAATTTGAATTCAAAGACGGTTCGGATGATTTGACACAATTGCATACAGATAGTGGCTGATGCAAAATTAGATTGAAGAATTTAGTTTATCTGAGAATTAGAGTAATTATGCAAATACAGACATGAAATCCTAGAGACCTGAAGCATCTCATGTCATCATACATGTATGCATGGAGGGAGATGTTGAAAAGGAGCTAGGGAGAAAGAAGGAACAGTTTTATAATTCTATGCCTGACTCACACATTAAAAACTGAAATACGTTTCCAATACGATACTATATAAATGTAACAAGATAATCTAAATGAGTTTAGTAATTAGAAAACTTGAATGGAAAATTTTCTTTTAAGTAAATGAATCCACTATGCTGCCTCTATGTGGCTACTGAAAGCTAAAATTTGGCTAGCTCTTTTTATTTGCCCAGGAGTAGTTAGAATATTGCAGTTGCAGCTGCTGTCCACTTCTGCAGACACCAATGATCTAAAAGCTCAGATTAATGATTATCCACAAAACAAAGGAAACTATTACTTAAAAGCCTATGTACTTTATTAAGAACAGTTTTGAAGAATATAGTTTCTCTTCACTTTAATCCTTCACAGGATAATATAAGAATGATTAAGAATTACAGTAATAATTAAGATTCTTTGGTGGCTACAAATGAGGAAGAAAGTTTTACCAAAATTTTAAAAACCCACAAGAGATAGGCATTGTCTTGTTCAAAACATATATTTTAATCTTTTAAGTGAAATTATTAATTTTAGCTTGGGTATTTTTCCTAGATACACTTTCACTGGGATCTACACCTTTGAGTCACTTATAAAGATCTTGGCAAGAGGGTTTTGCTTAGAAGACTTTACATTCCTTCGTGACCCATGGAACTGGCTGGATTTCAGTGTCATCGTGATGGCGTGAGTAGATATTTCTTTAATTTGATAAATTCCAAGGAATAAAACTATTTACAGCATGAAATAAATTGGTTGTGTTTTAAATGCAGAGCTTTTTTGTTAGTCAAATCAACTACATGCCTTGTAGATTTTGACAATACATATTAGACATATCGAAATGTAAATATGTCTAGCAATGAGTGATAGATGGAATCACTTTCATATCCCACAGTCTTTCTCTTCATCAAAATGAAGTTACTCATTAACTACAGTTTCTTAGAAACTACTATACTGTGATAAAGTTTGCAAACAAGCATCTGCATATTAGTGAAAACTGCACTGAAATAAAGCAACAATTCTTTTTTTTTTTTTTTTTTTTTTTTTTTCCTTAAAGGCACTTTCAGCATTTGGCACCCTGAGCTCTCTAGCAATTCTGTTTATCTCAAAGGGCTCGATATACCAACCCAGCATTAGTTATTTAGAATGAACTTTGCCAAAACTATCAGTAACTCTGATTTAATTCTACAGGTATGTAACAGAATTTGTAAGCCTAGGCAATGTTTCAGCCCTTCGAACTTTCAGAGTCTTGCGAGCTCTGAAAACTATTTCTGTAATTCCAGGTAAGAAGTAACTGGTGTAAAGTAGTAGGCCCTTATATCTCCAGCTTTTCTTGTGTGTTATTGTGTTTGTGTGTGAACTCCCTATTACAGATATGTGACAGAGTTTGTGGACCTGGGCAATGTCTCAGCGTTGAGAACCTTCAGAGTTCTCCGAGCATTGAAAACAATTTCAGTCATTCCAGGTGAGAGCTAGGTTAAACACCGAGGCTGATTTTAAATATACTGTAATAATGTTGGGTTGAGACCCCACCATTAGCCCTATTCTTATCATTCTAGATTGTCACATTCAAGAATACCAAATAGCTTTTCAGTGTTCCCTTCCTAAAAATTTTAAAAAATTCAGTCTTACTCATAAAGTCAGCCTTTGAGTTTAACAGAAAACTGCATGAGACATCTATTAAAAAATGACTGTTTTTTCACTCTCTTGCTTTTAAGATGTAAGTCTCTCCTGTGTTATGAAAAAGCTTTGCTACCATGGCTTTACTAACAGATTTATATTTTACCATTCGCTACAGATCTATTTCAAAAATAGATCATCATTTATAAAGGAGAAAAGTTTACTATGGAACAGCATGTATAAAGCATGGAGTTTTAGTCTTAAAATTCTTTTCTCCTCTAAATCACTGCTTCTTGGAGGCTGTTGTAAAGAATGGGTTGGGGAAAACAGCTTCACAAAACACAAAAGTAAAAAGTACGTCCAGCATAGATATGTGAGCATTCATTCTCAACGTTCCACAAGCACTGCGTTCACATAGAAAGTCAGAGCTCCATCTACTTTATCCGGTTTGCCGTAAAGCTTTGTGTCAATGCAGCCAAGCTGTCCTTCATGGGGGATTGTAGAATGTGTGTGCCTACTAAGAAGAAATCATTGTTGATTGCACTCCTCCTCAGCTGACACATGATTCTCTCTCCAAAGGTTTAAAGACCATCGTAGGGGCCCTGATCCAGTCCGTGAAGAAGCTGTCTGACGTCATGATCCTCACTGTGTTCTGTCTCAGCGTGTTTGCCCTAATTGGGCTGCAGCTGTTCATGGGCAACCTGAGGAATAAATGTTTGCAGTGGCCCCCAAGTGACTCTGCTTTTGAAACCAACACCACTTCCTACTTCAATGGCACAACGGATTCAAATGGGACATTTGTTAATGTAACAATAACCACATTCAATTGGAAGGATTACATTGCCGATGACAGTAAGGCACATTGCCTCCTTTAGCTTACTGTTGCTGAGTGTGCTATAGATGGTGGCGCCTGTTATTGTGGAGTCTATTCAGACGCACGCCGTTTATTTGGGAACCTTTAGGAAATAACTGAAATAATCAAACTCTGATGTATTCTTAAGTATTGAATTTTATTTTTTTAATTTGGTGTGTGGTAGTGTGAATTTGCACGCAAAGGTGTACGTGTGGAAATCAGAGGGCAATTTGTGGGAGATGGTCTTCTCCTTCGATCATGTAGGCCCCAGGAATCTAACTCAGGTTGTCGAGTGTCTCAGTAAGCCCTTTTACCTGCTGAACCATCTCACTGGTCCCCAACTCTGATGTATTCTTAATGTGACTAGAATTGAAGTGAAATCATATTCATTATTCTTTATGTTAACAGGCCACTTTTATGTTTTGGATGGACAAAAAGATCCTTTACTCTGTGGAAATGGCTCAGATGCAGGGTAAGAAACACATTTTTTAAAGATTTAGAAATCTACGTGAAGTTGTCAGGAAAAAGTGATGGAGAGATATGGGAGGAGTTGGAGGGGAGGGAGTGGGCATGGATTTGATCAAAACCTTACATGCATGTATGAAACTCTCAATAAATTTTTAAAGTAAAAAACTTAAAATCAAAATTAAAAAAATAAATACAATTAATTTGGAAGCAAAATACTTTTGATACAAAAATTTTGAAACAAAATTTTTAATTTTTTGAAAAATTAAAAATGACAAAAAGAGAAAATCCATATTTACTTCTTCATTAAAATGTTTCATTTTTAGTTTGTTATAAGTAGAAGATGAAATCTTTTTACCATAAAGACCAAAAAAAAAAATCATTGAATGTGTTTATGCTCTGAGTTTTCAACATAAACATAATTAAAGTCAGGCAAAGAATGCGGGTTTTCTATTCATGAAAATATCATACACGCTACTGTTCTTTTATTTATTCAAAATATAGCAAAAGACCAGAAAGTAAAAAAAAAAAAAAAAAAAAAAAAAAGGCACTGGCTGTTCCAGCTGAATTCAAGGTTTTCTCTAATCACCTCCCTTTCAATTTCTCTCATTTTCTTTCTTTAAAACTTTTATGTAAATTATTTTGCTTTTAATTGGAGAGGACATTTGTCTACCCATAGTGTGTGTCAAGAATTTTACCCAAGATCACTATCAGAACAATAAGAGATATCAGAAGCTTCAAAAAGAGAAAAAGATTTAGAAATCTTCCTTAAAAAGTACATGGGTGTGCTCGCTTCGGCAGCACATATACTAAAATTGGAACGATACAGAGAAGATTAGCATGGCCCATGCGAAAGGATGACATGCAAATTCGTGAAGTGGTCCATATTTTTATTTTGCATATTGTTAAAACTGTAACTTTAATTGTAAAAAAAAAATTTTAAAAAAAGATCATGGAACAGACTGGAGAAGAGATACTTCAGATCAAGGGCTTAGAGAAAGCTTCTCTGAGGCGGCAACCCATAATCTAAAATAAATGTAGTTACTGTGAATCAGAAAAAAAAAAAAAGTACATGGGTGAGATACGTACATGTAACTTTATGTGTAAGTAATGAAAAGTGATTCTGCCTCCCTAGAGAGTGCAGTGTCTGAATGGTGGGTGACCATTGGTAAGAACACCCCTTCACTGTGGGCAGGGATGCTAAAGGCGCATCCACTTTGGAAGAGAGTTTGACAGGTTCTTACAAAATAAACATAGTCACACTACCACACTGCAAGATAGATAGCAAACTAATTAGAAAACAGGTTTACACAAAAGCCTGTGTGCGGCTGTTATGGCAGTTTTGTGCATAATCAGTCCAACCTGGAAGCAACCAAGATGTCTTTGAATATGTAAATAAACAGGTGAACTGTTGCCTGCACATATAATGAAATACTGTTCTGTGATAAGTGATAAAAGAATCAGAAATACGTGTTCCTGTGTGAGAAAGAAAAGAAAATAGCTTGAAGGAGCCGTACAGTACAAGATTCCAATCATGTGGTGTCTGAAAAAGACAAAACTAGGAACGAACAAGAGATCAGCACTTACACAAGCTCGTGGTAGAGGATTAAGTAGAAGAAACACACGGTGCATGTAGGATGGAAAAACTACTCTATATAGATTCTTTTATGGTGGATAAAAAATATCAAGCATTTGTCAAAATTCATAGAAGACGGAGAGAAAAATAATTGGTACAATTTTTAAAGTTATTTGGGAGGTTGAGAGATTCCTAGATAAAAAATTTTAAATGTGACGACAGAATTTAAAAATACTACAAATGAATGGAAAAAACTTCAATGGAAGAAGTGGGGTAAAAGCTGCTGACATTACCGTTTGAAAGGATAACTTTGCCCTTCATCATCTGTGACAATGAAGACAGCTTCTCAGGCAGAGCATTTCCCCTGGTAGCAAACATCGGTAATCCTGAAGCCCCTGTGTATGTGTAGTAGTGTTGGGAAACTTTTTAAAAATGTAGAGATGGTGGGAGCCTGTTTTCTCACTTTGGGAGTGACAAGTTATAAATGAGCAAAGGGAGACATCTAGAATGATCCTTCTAAAGATGGACTAGAAATGGAGACAGGAAATATACTTCAAATTTAGCCTAATATAAACATAAATTGTTCCTTGTATAAATATTTATGTTGTGTGTGTGTGTGTGTGTGTGTGTGTGTGTGTGTGTGTATCACAAGTGAGAGTGCATACATGTATTTTCTTGTTCTGTCAGCTGAGGGGGCCCAGAAGTACTGATATCTCAGTAGCAACAAACACCAGCTGGCACCCAGATCCCTGTTTCTGGTACAGTTCTCCATTAAAGGGACCAGGGCTCTTTAGAGAAATGTCTGATTCTGGAACTGGCCCAGGAAACAGAAAAGACCAATCTGAAATGTGTTATAATGCTAGAAACCAAGAAAGTGCTAACGAGTAAAAAGAAAAACATGGCATGAAAACATGCAGGGTGTCAAGCAGATACAGGTGCCAAGTGAGAAAGCTTCCAAAGGTTAGGAAATTTGTACAAGAAGAAAATATCACTGCAATATTATTCAAAACATAAAACAAATGCCCACGATTATGCACTGATATAGATGGTCAACTAACCTAGAGGTAATAGACAAATATCCTATGCAGAAGTAGTTTTTGAACATACTCTGTCTTGGAAGAGATGATGATTTCTCATTTTTAAAGTATACATAGCATATTATGCCTCTGTTTCAAAGAGTATAGTACAGAAAAAGGAAGAAAACACAGACTTACAGTGAAGAAACTTATTTGGAACAGAAGAAGGGTACTAAGGGTAAACTGAGGAAATGGGAATGAAGACTCTAGTTACTGATAATGTATCAGTATGAAAGCCTGGGCATCAATATACAGGGAATCTGTAGTATCCAGATTTCCTATAAATCTAAATGCTCTTGAAATGTAAGGCTATTTTATATAATTGTACAGAACTGGCTAAAGAGGTATCTCAGACTGATTTCCAAGCTATTCATGATTTTCTAACTTTATTTTTAAATTGATTCTTACCACTTTGTAAAGAGTGAATAATGACGCACTGGAGCAGAAATGTGTGGCTGCTATCATCTTGCCCTTCTAAATGTCTATAAATTTGACTTTCTTGTACTTAAAATTTCTACTAACTCTCCTAACATTTAACTTGTGAAAGACAGCCTAACGTGTTCTGGAAATGAAGGTCTAGCTGCGATTATACTAACTTTGACAAGTTCTATAAATCAATATTGATTGAGTGAATTGGCCACAGTTTCTGTGCTGACCCCACCAATGTTTCTATCTTTTATAGCCAATGTCCAGAAGGATACATCTGTGTGAAGGCCGGACGAAATCCCAACTATGGCTATACAAGCTTTGACACCTTTAGCTGGGCTTTCTTATCTCTGTTCCGACTCATGACTCAAGACTACTGGGAGAATCTTTACCAGTTGGTAATGGAACCAAATTAACATGAGTGGGATTTGCTCTGATGATCACATACAAAATGCTAAGCACTGATTTATAACCGGGGGGGGGGGGGGG